TAATCCTTCCTCCTAGTTGCTCTACCTCTCCCAAGGTTGTCACTACGTCAAACAATGGCTATGACTTATGAGAATTGCCTTTGAGGGCGTTGCTGACTTTGACAAACTCCCCTAGATGCCCCAATACTTAGACAGATGACAACTGAGAAGAGTCACTAGCGAAAAAGATACCAACCCTATCGAAGTCACCGTTAGTACGTGTGCTAAATATGACCTGCGTATCAGACATGCGCCTAATAATGTCCTTGGCGTTGTCTAAAACGCCATTGAATGGCTTTATCTTTTGGATAGTGGCACTGTTAATGAGAACAGAACCTTGCCAGACTGCTTCTCGGTATTAACTATGGAGAATATTACCTCCTCACTTCACTCGGATCTTTTTTGCTGTTGAATCAGGCACAACCTCAGCGTCTCGCTGGAGGTTGCAGTGGAAAATTTGCCCACTCGAATTTCATGCCTCAACTAAGTTCAAACCATTGGTTCTGAAGAAACAGTAAGTCAAGGTAATAGATTTGTCAGACGCCAGAAGTACATCGTCACCTTGGACATCGCTGCTGCTTGTGCTCACCAGACCTACAAGTCGCTCTCCGGTATTTGCAAAGGTTCTGCGGGCACGCAGTGCTTTGGCCACACTGGCACGGTCCAGCTTGTTGGCCAACACGCCCGTCAAGCCTCCTTTTGTTGAGAATACAGCCGTTCTTAGAACGCCGCCGCCACATCTGCCCCGATGCTCATCTGAGTTGGCAGAAACGCCCAGCTCCCAACCACGCTTCGTGGCGCCACGAAGAAGCCATTCGAACAGACCCTATGAGCTGCCGATATTAAGCAGTCTCTCAAGCTTGAGGTGGTGCCATGCCAAGTTGCGTCTACGGCCGCCGACATGAGGAACGAGCAGATGCCTTTCTGCCATCTGAGGAGTGGACGTACGTGGCGTAGACATCGTTCAGCGGCCACGCACGTGGCACAAGTTCTGCTGGTCTGTCGTCGTTCCATTCAAAGCTTCTGGCAACATTGCCATTTCTGTCGAAAGGAAATTTGGGTTCGTTGATGCTTGGATCGTTGAGAAAGACGACGTTATGGTCGTCACCCGCTGCCGAGTTATCACACCATTCAGTTCCGGGGAAAACGACAAATCTACCATACGAACTAACAGCCTTAATGACTTCGAGAGTTTTGTTCCACCTTTCCCTCGTAATGTTGAAGTCCTTAGCGGTGTAGCCTCAAATATCCAGGCCTGCGATCTGTTAGGCGTACGAAAAGTTGTATGTGGTTGAATTGGTCCCCACTATGTCGTCGGAATGAACGTGAAGGTCTGCGTATAGTGCTCGAGGAACAGAAATACTTGAACTGACAGTTAAATAATCTGTCTTTTAAACCATGATAAGTCAGTCATCCACTTCACGGCTGTGAAGTGGATGGATCACATGGCTAAGGATCCTATCTTTACTGTGGGTACAGCTGCCCTAGGAAATGGTCTTGAGCTCCTTCGAACGAGGCTGCTTGCCGTCAAGCCACTAGAGCGTTTAGGTACATCAGACTTTCGCCCTAACAACATACTAACACCACAACAAGATGCGCTTAACTACAGCACCACCAAGATTAACTCGCCTAACTAACCAGCTGCTAGTAGAGTGGCAGAAGAATTAACACAGAAAACACTCATAATAAAGGTGAGCGGACCTAAGAAAACTCAGGGTAGTCAGGATTCAGAGCTTCTCCTGGCGTCGTTTTCAAAACCAGGATAGGAACAGGCTCAGCCAGACCAAGGTTAGAATTCATTGCTTGAGATTGCAGGTGAGCATGAAGAGGATATTAGCTACTGGCTCACAGGCTTCCCCAGTCCTTCGCGCAGTCCTTATACGGACATTGTGCATACCAACCAGGAAATACTGACATCACAAGTGTTAGTTAGCACGATCAAGTGGCATTTTGCAAATACGTCCTTAGTTTCTGAAAAGCTGTTGTCATTCCTATCACAGTGTACTGCTAGCCTAGGCCTGTCGGCTAGGGAAGATGTAAATGGGAGGGCGTTGTGACTATCCTGTAATATGTGCAAAGACATAATCAAAACAGCCTTCTAGGAAGCTGAATTTCTATTCGATTCACCCGTACTTCTAGCATTCATGTAGCCAGAACTGAGGTCGAGAAAGCATGTAGTTTGTTTGCTTCTCTTGATTTGCCCGTTTGTACATAGAAAGCTCTCTATTTAAGGAAATCATATATTCTTCGGGTTAGTTTTAGTTAGGACACTTCAGTTGTTAGTATATTCTACAAAACAATGCATACAATATTAACTCACGCAGAAACCAAAGTATTGCACTCCACTAAGCTGGAGAGTGCCTTGGATCTGGCAATTTGCCATAGAACTATCTGTACTGGTCTCGCACTATATGAAGGGTCTAGTCAATAATGAGGTGATTAAAAGGGAGTTGGTAACATACTAAGAAAGGGCTTGTGTTTGCCTTATAGTCATTAGTAGGTAGTTATCTGTTAGAAGGGTGACAAAACTCACAACACCCGAGCAGTAAGTTCCTACGCCTAGTGACGCCCCAGTAACACAAGCAGAAGCTGTGCCCCAGAGGACAGACGCCAAAGCGAGAGCAAACGTAGTTTTCATAGCTTTTGTGGTGTATTTTAACACGTAGTAGTAATGACTTAATTGCATCAAGAGGAAAGGGTAGCTGATATGGCTGGTGTATTTAAATGCGAATAAGGGACTCTATTAAGTAGATTCCTAAAAATAGATTATCTCGCATAGTTCTAGTAAAACTACCTAATAAAGTTAAATAGATAATTACTAGGAAGAACCTAGTTAATAGCTCATTCTAGTACTACTAGCGTAGGTAGGTGGAGATAAATTTGAGTCATGAGTGTGGGGCACAGTTACGCTGACAGCCCTTCTACTATGATATTGTATTAGCCTTACTAGCCCTCTAGAGCGATGACGTTCTCGCTAATCTAGTAAATAACGCGGCCTATATCTAAGCTTTTTAGGGGGGGGTTTTAGCAATGTGTCGATTAGCATGCTGCGGAACCGATCTGTTGGGCCACCCGGTACCCGACCTAGTGACAGGCTCAACTACAAGACGATCAGGGGGAATCTCATTGGCGGTGAAATCGGCGCCACCAATCTCCTCACTTGGATTCATTTGCGCATTAATGTCAAGCTGCGTGGAGTCTTAAAGTGGTGAAGAATACGCTCACCTAGAAGTCATGTACTGATAACGTGTCGAATGCCTGCCTATTTGATGAAGTGCCAGTGTGTGTGTATGTGTGTGTGAATATGCTGTCCCCCAAAATTGTTGGTGACCTGCGGCGGTGCCCCTTTTGGTAATGGTTAGGTATGCGTATCCAGCAGCCTAGTGACTGACACACATCGGCGCAGTGGCATTGTATTGTCTCACAGAGTCAGCGAATCCGGCCGAATTGATGCGTGACAGAAATGCTTGATGGAGACAGGCAATGGAGGCGCTGCAATACGGACAGCCCTCCCTACAACTGACAGAATTTAATGTATCTAAACTCTCGGGATTTGTACCTGAAAAAATGGATTTTGCTACGGACAAATCGGCGTAGTGTAAATGTAGCTGCGGTAATAATGCCATTGTGTTAGATTCGCCGCTTACTCTTACAACAACGCAACTCAGGATTATGAGCGGGCTGCATAAAACATCAGGATAGAGGATTGGTATACAGCAGTAAATAGTAACAAAAAGGGTAGAGTATTAGAAAAAATATAATACAAATATAATATAAATACAATACATGTATTTGTATTTTTTTAGTATAATATAATACATGTATATATATTTGTATTTTTTCTAAGACACTATATAAAACAAATATAAATATATATATTATATTTGATATTTTATATACTATACAGAGGAAAAATATAAAAATAATACTTTTTATATATAGTAGTATAGAGATCTAATAATATATAAGTAAAATATATTAATAATTATATTTATATATTTTAATTCTATTAAAAGTATTCTCTTTAATATAAGTACTACTAATACTTTATATATAATTATATATATATAGAGACTAAAGTACTTACTATAGGGAGTATATTTAATACTATATTAATAATAAGTATAATATAGTATAAGAAACAAGTTACTTATATAAGACTATATCTAGAAAGATAAATAATAATTATAACTTATAAGTATTACTAATACTTAATAGTATAATAAAATATTAAGAATAAAGAAGTTAAAAGTAAGAATAATTTATTCCTAGTATTTATTATACTATTCTATAATTAAATACTTTAAACAATAGTTACTCTTAACTATTACTTATTATAATATTTTTATTTTATATTATAGTATTATATTATATAGTATAAGTATTAAATATTTATAAAGTATTAATATTTTATTACCTTTATATATTTATATTTAAAGAAGATAATATCTAGAGAAATAACTAATAACTTATAAGTAGTAAGTATAATCTATTAATAATATAGTAATGCTTATAAGTGTAATAAGATCTTAAGAATTAAAAAATAGAAAGCTATAAGTCTAAAGAACTTAAATATTTAAATATTTATAATTTAAAATACTTTACTAAAAACATTTAAATAGTATTATCTAAAATAAATATTGTTGTTAGTAACACCAAGGGATAGGTTAATATAGTTAACTATATATATTAGTAGTAATTAATAAATAATAAGGGTAACTATAGTTCTCTATTATACATAAAGAAAAAAAGGATAATTATTATAGGTTAGTTAGTTAAATAACTAACTTATTACTTATAAATCCTTAGAGAATCTATAGCTAAATATCTAAGGATTTACTAGTAATAAGTTATTAAGGTTAACCTAATAACTTTAATATTTATCTATAATAGTTAATATTATAACACTAGTAACCTTCTATAGTGCTAAAAATCCCTTATTATTTATATCTAAAAGAATAGCTAAAAAACATAATAAAAACAAGAAGCTAAAAAGTATTTAATACTCTTTGCTTATATAGCTTATTATATATAAGAAACCTATTTATTTATCTATATCTCTAACTACCTATTATTAACTAGCTTCTTTAATATATTGTTTAGTAATAACTTTATAAATCTATCTACTAGGTTATTACTACTATAAATCTACTATATCTTAAAAATCTTATAGTGTTTATATAACTAGTAAAGGGCTATAATATCTATTATAAGTTACTTCTTTTTTATAGTACTAAGTTTTATAAGGCACTTATAAAGTAAGTATAAGTTAGTATAAAGTATTATAGGTATTTATAGTAGCTTAAGGTAGTTAGTAATTATTATAAAAGTAGTACTAATTATATAGGTAATATTAGCGCTAGTAACTATCCTATAGACCTTAGAGGTAAGTATACTATATATAACTCTTTTATACTTTATTAAGCTAAAGTAGATAATATTACTAGTTAATTTAAAGCTTTTACTATTAGTAGTAGGTTACTTAATAATTTATTTATTAGTAAGGACTATAATAAAGCTAAGTTAGGAGGTAAGGTTATAGTTATTTATAAATAAGCTATTAATAAATATAAAAAGCTTAGTAGTTATAAGGTTAATTAGTAAGAATTATAGGCTATAGTTAAGGTTATTAATTTACTATTTAATTTAGTAGTTTAAAGCTTTAACCTTCTTTACTATAGGTAATTAGTGTTAAGTAGTAACTAAATAGTTAAAGTAAGCTTTAGGTTAATAAATAGAAGTAATATATACACTATAAGTGTATTACTAGACATAATTTTACTAAGTAGTAGGTAATTTCTTGTTAATAAGTTAAAGCTTTTTACCTTAGCCTTTTTAATAAAGGGTAAGCTTACTATTAGTAGTAATAGATAATATACTACTATTAAAGGTAATAAAGTTATTAGCTATAAGTAACTACTTAGGTTTTACTATAAAAGTAGCCTTCTTAAGCTTCTTCTCTTTATAAGTAAAGAATTTACTATTTATAAGGCTAATTATATTATTTATTTATATACTAATTAATCTAAAGTTACTATTATTAGGTAATAATATTAATAAGTAAAGGTTAAAGGTTAATAAATTTATCTAGAGATTCTCTTTATAATAGTAGTTATAAGTTATCTACTAGTAGGTTCTTAGCTCTATAATACTATATAATAGCTTAGTTACTATTATTATTATATTAACTAGGTAAAGATAGTAAATTTATATAAGTAGGTAAATAAAAATAATATAATTTAGTAGTATTACTAATTAAGTATATACTTAGGTAATATTATATAACTAAAGGAAAAATCTATATTAAAGTAGTAAAAAGGCAAAAGTAAGTATTAATTACTAGACTATTTACTAAATAGTAGGTAACTATATAAGAATTATTTCTTTACTATTATCTATATAACCTTAGATAATAAGCTATAATTTCTTATAAGGCTACTTACTTTTACCTTTTACTTTATAGACTATATATAATTTAAATATATAAGTGTTATTATAGGATTTCTTATTATAAATAATAATATAAAATACACTAATGTATATATATAGTAAGTAGTATATTATAGTAAGTAGTATATATCTACCTTATTTCTACTAGCTTTATCTTTATATTAACCTTTCTCTATGTACAACAATGGAATCCTCTTCTTAAGAAAGCTAAATTATCCTTGTAATTATAGCTATCTAAAAAGACTAAAATCTATCTATATAAAAGGCAGCCTTTATCTATAATATACCTAAAACTATACTCTATTATTAACGCACTAGAAAAGTTATATAAGCTAAGACATGTTTAAAATTAATAAAGATAACTATATCTAAAGAGGAGGTAATTCTTAAAAGGGTTATTAACCTAATTAATTAAGGATTTCCTTTGCAACAAAAAGATATATAAGATATAGCTAATTAACTCCTTAATATACGCAATAGGATATATATTAGACCCTAATAAGTAAAGAACTTTATATAATAACAACCTTAATTAAAAATATAATTTTAATATTAAATTAACTATTAGAGGGCCTTAGCTAAGAATCCTATAATTATATAAGGCTAGTTTATACTTATATAAAATATAATTATAAAGTATAAGATATAGGATTATAATATTTATAATTTTAATAAGACTAGGTTCTTAATAGGAATACTATTATATATAAAGGTTATTATAACTTTTAACTAACGTAGAAGGCTTTATATAAAGTAGCCTAGTAATTATAAATAGGTTTCTATTATTTAGGGTATATATATAGATAGCTAGGTAATACCTCTGTACATTATTATAAAAGGTAAATATTACCTTCTATTATAGTACTTTAATAGTAAATTTTTAGCTATATAGTGTATTTACTTAAGTAAAAACAGATAGACTATAAACAAGATTAGCCTAGATTAGCTAAAGTACTTTAATTAGTATATAAAGTCTTATATAAAGGGTACTTATTACCTTCTAATCCTAGATAGCTATAATAGCTATAAATTAACTAAATTTAAAAACTACTATAAAAAAGAAGGTATTATTACTTTATATATACCTCCTTATTTATTATATAAGCTTTAGCCTCTTAATATTAGCTATCTTAGCCCTTTAAAGCACTTATATAGTAAGGAAATTAAAAAATAATATAGATATAAATTATATATATTACTAAGGATAACTTCTTTTTTACTTTTAAAGTAGTATTCTTTACTTTAATAGGTAAAATAAATATATAAGTAG